CATAAGAAATTTCAAGCATCTTACCTGCATTCAAAGATAATTTGAGCTTTCAGTAAACCTGTCTTAGTAGATAAACTTATTACCTAGTGATGTGATTTCTACTATCTTCCCATATCATTTTTTCCCTTATCTTCCAAATTGTCGAGTTTGAACCCCTCCCCAGTCAAATCAAGTGAAACAAATAGACGCCATTCTATCCTTTCTGTATAGATCACGAACAGATTCGCCCGGAAGATGATATTTGGCTGCGTTATTGTAGTGACTCACATTTATCACGAGAACACGACTGGTTTAATAGAAACAATTATTATTATAACCAACTGTACCAGTGTTTATTTTAATGTGCTTTTGTTTGACTGTGCTAATGACAGCTATATTTTGCTTCCATTCTTATACACACACTTCGATTGTAACTTCGCGCGAATTCGGTTACCTTCTGTAACCAAGGTTGTATCCTGGCACGATCTCGGTATCCTTTCGATGCCACGAGATCGCCAGCAAATATACACCTCGACTTGGTCCATTAACTGTCTTCTGATATTTGGCTTCTCGGGGATTTTATGGATTATTTGGTTACGTCCAACCTTCGCCTTCTGATCTAATTGGCACGTGTTTCTTTGTAGCGGTGTTCACAGTTAACCTCAACTCGACGCCACGCTACATTATAACACAGATTGTTTTCAGTTCCGAAAGAGTGCTTCAGTATACAATCAAATATGCACAATTACAGTAAATGCAAGAAGCACAATCAAAAAGGGAAACAAATCAATAAGGCTGCCGCCAAGACTAAGTAACAACTAAAACAACATAAATGTAGTTCATGAGAAACATGTAAACCCAGTAAACGCGTAAGAAGAACAAAAATCACAATAAAACACAATTAGTACCATCTCCAATGGACTCGAAAGGATTAACAGAATGTACATGTAGATAAATCAAGAGGAACAGGTTACAGGTGTATACGTGGAGGGATTTTCAAAAGCAAAACCTTCGGCGAAACAAATTATCATTGCTGACTCATCCTTCTGTCCATGACGTGCTATCGATTAATTCGTCTTGGTTGTCCTTGACGTTGACAAGGCTCAGTCAGCTATCAAATATTCAAAGGTCTTCCACTGGATCGTTCGGCTTGGACTTTGTGATATTTTTCTGGCCTAAAAGCAACATCACTTTTGAATGCCGATAAACCACTGCCTAATGGCAATTATTTGTTACTACACACTGAAGATGCTATATATACAATTTAGCAAGGTAAGGAGAGTAGGATCATCAGGTGTTATTTTGTATTATTTTGAACGACATTGCTTCCCTTCATCATTTCATGTTAACTCTTAATGCTACGCAACTAAGTGGCGATTCGTTATTTATTGGCCAATAGAGAAGCACGTTAGCACTGAAAGCTAGAGAACTTATTTGATCATCAGCCAACGATTAATTTTTTTACAATGTTTATATGTAAAATAAGCGTGATTCTTCTGTATTTGTTCTTGTTTTGTAATTTACAACAACCACGGAACTTGCAAAATACACTATCCAGCAAGGTGAGGAGTGTAAAATCATACGCTTTCTTCTGATCTAAAACCGAACATTCTGGCAAATGACTCCTGGACTTGATTGCAAGCCAATTTTAAGATAACGTCAACCACGAGTGAATGAAAAGAGAATATAAACTTTGAACTTTGTTCGGCATAATCGGCAAACCGTTTGTCCCCTGGAATCTGCGTCTAAGAAGTAGGAAAGTAATAATGATGACGCAAAAGTTCGGTTCGTGTCTTTCCTTTTCAAACTGAGGGGTGGACGAATTTAGTCACCAAAAATTGAGGCAATCGAAAAGTAATAAAAAGAGTGATTACCCTCGCTACCAAGGCGACTTAAGTGAACGTTTAGCGTTCTTTTAGAAGAGAATTGAACGTGTCGTTAATATCACCCGTGATGCTAAATTTCATAGTTAAGTGATATTATAACGAAAGTCTACACAAATTTTTGTGCGAGCTCAATAGTGGTCTGTTTTATATAGACGTCCTCTTCGGTGTAATTTGCAGCCAAATGAATCAATGACTTGCTAGGTTGAGGGGGATCGTCAACAATATGATACATAATGATCATATAATGACATCTTCCAGACAGTACGGACTAAAGATTTACATCTCTTAGGAGAGCGCCTGCTGAACCATTTCTAGGAGAGTGAAATTACTCTTGAAGTGGAGAGTCACAACCGTGTAGCTCTCCTAGATGAGATCTTAGGTAAACACTAAAACAGGTTCAAACGGTTCCCGAGTCATGCTACTAATGTTATAGAAAGAAAGACCGTCACGTCCAAAATATCATAAAAAGTGTCGCTCAAGTTCTTAACTGTAATGAGTAATATGGTGGCGGAATCTCCGAGGAGCTATGCGGTCAACAAAGTATCACTTCCGCTCACCACTGATGTCCTGAGTTTAGTGGTATAAGTGGTATAGCGACATGTAAATCCAGCAATTTCGCAACGAAAAAAACAAAGACAACGTCCATTTTTTTATTCTTCCCTCATTTACGACTAGCATACCTCCGCCGACGTACGCCCCAAAGGAGGGAACTATTTAGTGAGATGCATATTCAATAATTTTATAGCGATCAAAATAAAGACTACATTTTTTTATGTTTGTGTCACTGTGCGTAACCATATATATTCAATTTCTGTTGTTTGTTTTTGTCAGTTGTAAACGGACACAATCAAATGAATCATTAAGATATACTCTACTGTCGTTATTCAAATAAATCCCGTCTCCATCGCTTGTCATTCCGCTTGACTAGAGACGGCTCGCGATCGAAGATCACAATACTGTTAAAACATCCTCCCAGGCAGTCCCATGCTATGTAGAAATTTCAGTGCAGATTATTACTCAATCATTCTATCGGATTTATACTTTGCTTTACTTCTTTGGTGCCCACCGTACAGAGGAGCCTTATTCAGTTGGGTGGACTGCTTTTGTGGTTGTTATCTTAGAAGACGTATACAAGTAACATAAACTTCATAAGAGTCATCACATTAGTTATTTAATATGCCATTATGTTCTATTCATGAACAGTGGTTTCAGTTCACAATATTGTTTCTTTGGCGTATTATTATTAACTCTCCTTTTTCTTAACTGGAGTCCAACACATGGGAAGGGTTTTCACAGTGCAGTTGTGTATGTTATCTAATTCTTCCCAGGGAGACGAAATATCATCTAGCCCAACCGTTTTCCTCCAGATCATAAGATCACCTGAGTAAAGAAGAGATCGAGAATCTACAGTACGACTGACCCTACTTACGTCTGCTAAACCTCGTCGGGGAGCAAAAGCCACCTACCAGCACTCCTCTTATCCAACCCTGTCCTGGACAGTCCTTTCCAGCTGTTTCCAGTTACTATTCGTTCTTTACATGTCTGCCTTCAATTCTCGACACGGTGTGCTCTTTGACCTTCCTCTTTCCCGTTCCCCCTCGAAATTACAAGTTAGCTCCTGCTTCGTGATGCAGTTCGATGATTTCCATAATGTACGTCCTATCCAACCCCAACGTGTCTTCCTAATTTCCACTTCGTCTGGAACCTGGTTTGTTCTCTCTCACAAAATGTTGTTGCTGATGGTATCCGGCCAATGGATATTGAGTATTTGCGTAGGCAATTGTTTATAAATACTTGTATCGTTTTGTATTGGTTGTGGTAGTTCTCAAAATTTCAACTCCGTACAGTAGAACTGTCTCGACGTCCGTACAGAAGATTCTGACTTTTGTGTTGGCTGACAGTTCTTTTGAGTTCCATATATCCTTCAACTGTTGGAATGATGTCCTTCCCTTGCCAATCCTACTCTTTACGTCCGCATCAGATCCTCCTTGTTCATCCATGATGCCGCCCAGATGGGTACGTAAAAATACTCACCTCTTCCATAGTTTATCCATCAAGTGTTACTGGGTTGGTGTCCTCCGTGTTTTATTTGAGGATGTTTTCCCTATATGTATTTTGTGGTCAACTGAATCAGGGCTGCTGATACACTAGTTGTCTTGACTTGCATTTTTTTGGTATGTATGGAATAGAAGGGCCAGGTTACCTGCGAAGTCCAAGTCTTTTAGTTGACTCCGAGCTGTCCACTGTATTCTGCGCTATTCCTCAGATGTCGAGGTGTCCATTATCCAGTCGACCATTAAAACAAGGAGGCATATTAACGATAATAGAGGGGAAAAAGAAATTGATAACTCATAATAAGATGTTGTCCTGAGTCCTTAAAAATAGGTCAGTTTGATTCTTAAAGGACACCTGAGAAGTCGCTTGAACTAGCCCAGTCGGCAGCGAACTCCAGCATTTGACAACTCTTAAGGAGTAGAAGTTGTGTCTACAGTCCGTCCTGCTATGTCGTATCTCCAATTCCTGGGTGTTATCCCATGGATTTGTATTGAGACTAAGCCTAACTAGGTGTTTAAGTGGATGTCCAGAAGGGTTAGGATACTGTAAGCCATCTGAAGGTCACCTTAAGGACTAAGGATAATATCTTACTATAATATACCAATTTCTTTTCCCCACTCTATTATCGTTATTATACCTAGGTTCCTGCCTGGAGGTACTGGTGATCCACTGCTACTAGACATGGAATCCTGTTAAGCGAAAGCTTCTTCTATTCCGTCTACAACCATTTGAATCATTTGGCAGGAAAAACAACAAGTTCAAGGTTTGTTAATTTCCTACTTTGCATTTTTAACCCTTGTCACTTCCACAAAATAACGACAAAGAGCATGGTTCCCCATGGTATTATTATACTTATATTACTGAAAACATCAACATTATATAAATAACGACAATAAGGTTCATACATTTCCCACGTATGTTCAAAATGTCTGCAAGTAACACATAATTACAGAAGCTGATGTATATACAGTAAGTTTGTCAGAAGTGCCTTATTGCATCATAAGTGATAAAGAAACCTCCAAGTTGCAATAAAATGTTAGTGTGATGCATAAGCAACGTACGCTGCTTATAAATCATAAAGTAATTCGCGCGCTATTTAAAAAGAACAGTGGTATTTCTCCTTGCTGAGTAAATTTGTTTCTTTCGATCGTTTATTACGTATCAAGACTACTGTTTTCACTTTAATTGAATTTATTTCAGTTAAAGTATTCGACTAGAGTATCGCTTTTACTGTCCTCTCAATTAGTTTTGTCGTTGGTACTCTTGAGTACCTCTTTTCCAACTGTATCTGTTAGTACTTTTGGTCCTAGCAATCTACAGCTCCTCACGTTTTTGGTCATTGATTATTTTTTTGTTCCTGAGTATCATCGCATCTTCAAAAAGAACCCTCCTAAATGACCGGACAGTGTAAAACAAGCAGCTACCAACGTCCGGGTTGTCGTTATCCTGTTGAAAGCGGCATGCAGTGCGACGAGTGCAAAGGGTGGTACCACGAAGTTTGCACGAATTTAACGCCTGCTGCTTTCAAAAGGTTCAGTAAGAAGGGCTGCGTTTGGCTTTGTCAACAGTGCTGTTCGGATGCAAACAGCTTGTTAACCGAGGCCATCTCACTGGTAGATGCTGCGAATGTGTTTTAGAAAACGTAGTCGGGACACATCAAATAGCACTCGCTCTGTTGACACGCAAATTGATATGAAGGAAACTCAGGCGAGTTCGAAAATAGGTGACTCACACCGATCAAAGAAGGAAAGTCTCCAAAGAGGTCTGTCTTAAACAAAAACTCAAGAAAAGAAGGTTCTTCTGTTCCCCGTCTTCCAAATGGCACCCAGCAGGAGACACCTAGAAGCCGCAATCGCAAGGCTCGATCGGTTCCTAGCGGGAAACATAACCTGACCTCTCAGGTCGTCGACAACCCCCCAAAATCCAACACTAGGTTTGACGCAACTGTTATTGCTTCTACCGGCACCGTTGACGAATGGATACAGGTTGTAAGGAAGAAAAGTAGGGATATAAAGGGAACCCTGCCCCGTAAAAGTAGTCGAAAAATCGAAAGCTGATCACAGTGACAGATCAGTTATTTTTCATAGAATCAATGAGAGTGAGAGCTCCGAACCAAAAGCTCGTTTTGAGCATGACATTGTACTGATTAGGCAGCTGCCTAATCAACTCATGCCTCAAAATATCACCGGGGTCACCTTGTTAAAGGTGTACAGACTAGGGAGTCTAGCGGACTCGAAACCAAATCATTCCAGACTGCTTAAAGTAGTATTCGGCTCTTCGAACGAACGTGACCAAATTTTACAGAATGGACATAAATTAAAGGGTTCAGGAGTTTTTATCCGTAAGAACTTGCCATTGGCAGACCGTGTCAAAAGATGGGAAGCCAAAAAAGAACTACAACTTAGGTTAGACACTGGCGAAAAGGACCTAAAAATTGTAAATTTTCGGGCTGTAAGGCTTCGACAGAGAATGATGCCGAAGCCACTCTGAGTGAAGCACAAAGGCACTTAAATAGGCTTCGGATCTGCTACGCTTATAATAACACATGCCCGAAGCTTACTTAATAAGCGATCGGAACTAGGTGTACAGACTGACTCTATAAAGCCAGATATAATCGCAGTTACAGAAACCTGGCTGACACAGACTATAGATAGTATGGAACTTGATTTCGAGGGTTTTACGTTAGCAAGGGCCGACAGAATACAAAAGCGTAAAGGGGGGAGTAGCTCTATTCATTAGGAATGCTATCCCATTTGCCATTATCGACAGTGTATCCCATGAGAGTGGGACGTGTGAATTAGTTAGTTGCCGCTTAAAATGCAAGGGACAAGAACTGCTGATTGGTTTGGTCTATCGCAGTCCAAGCTGTGAGGTAAATGAAGTCCTGGTAAGCAGTTTCAATACTTGGTCACAAAGTGGTCGATGTCTAATTCTAGCGGACTTTAATGCACCTATGGTAGACTGGGAAAATCTGCGAACTAAATCGTCGGAGAATTCTTTCGAGCAGGAACTAGTTGATGGGATTATCACATGTGCTTCAGTGCAACATGTGAAAGAAGCGACAAGGTACGATCCGGACACTGAATCATCCTTATTAGATCTTATACTGACTCACTATGAGGATGGTGTTGCGAACCTCCATCATATGCCACCCCTAGGTAAAAGTGATCACGCAGTTTTAACTTTCGACTTCCATATAACTGCCAGTCACGGGACGCGTCAGTTCAGTCCAGACCCAACGTCTGGAAAGCAAACATACCAGACATCATGCACTCAGCATCGTTAATAGATTGGACAATAGACCCAGAGTCCTCCATTGTAACGGCCTGGGACGCATTTCGAAATTCATACTTAAAAGTTACCACACCTCACATCCCTTGGACTATACCAAAGGGGCCGAAAAACTCACCACCATGGTTCAGTAGGGAGGTCCGTATCCTTCTCCGTAAGAAAAGGAAAATGTGGGATAGATTTAGGTTACTGGGGACTGATGAGTCAAAATCTCAGTATCGAAAGGCTCGGAATACTTGTGCCTCGACTCTCCGTAAGTCTAGAAATATGTACGAAGGAAAACTTGTTAAGGAATCCATAGAATGTCCTAAACGCTTGTATTCCTATATAAACCAAAGCACAAGGAGAAAAGGAAATATTCCTGCTCTATGGGGAGACAGTACTGCTTCATCATTAGTGGAGTCAGTATAAGATCTAATAAGGATGATTCAGTGTCCGGATCGTACCTTGTCGCTTCTTTCACATGTTGCACTGAAGCACATGTGATAATCCCATCAACTAGTTCCTGCTCGAAAGAATTCTCCGACGATTTAGTTCGCAGATTTTCCCAGTCTACCATAGGTGCATTAAAGTCCGCTAGAATTAGACATCGACCACTTTGTGACCAAGTATTGAAACTGCTTACCAGGACTTCATTTACCTCACAGCTTGGACTGCGATAGACCAAACCAATCAGCAGTTCTTGTCCCTTGCATTTTAAGCGGCAACTAACTAATTCACACGTCCCACTCTCATGGGATACACTGTCGATAATGGCAAATGGGATAGCATTCCTAATGAATAGAGCTACTCCCCCCTTTACGCTTTTGTATTCTGTCGGCCCTTGCTAACGTAAAACCCTCGAAATCAAGTTCCATACTATCTATAGTCTGTGTCAGCCAGGTTTCTGTAACTGCGATTATATCTGGCTTTATAGAGTCAGTCTGTACACCTAGTTCCGATCGCTTATTAAGTAAGCTTCGGGCATGTGTTATTATAAGCGTAGCAGATCCGAAGCCTATTTAAGTGCCTTTGTGCTTCACTCAGAGTGGCTTCGGCATCATTCTCTGTCGAAGCCTTACAGCCCGAAAATTTACAATTTTTAGGTCCTTTTCGCCAGTGTCTAACCTAAGTTGTAGTTCTTTTTTGGCTTCCCATCTTTTGACACGGTCTGCCAATGGCAAGTTCTTACGGATAAAAACTCCTGAACCCTTTAATTTATGTCCATTCTGTAAAATTTGGTCACGTTCGTTCGAAGAGCCGAATACTACTTTAAGCAGTCTGGAATGATTTGGTTTCGAGTCCGCTAGACTCCCTAGTCTGTACACCTTTAACAAGGTGACCCCGGTGATATTTTGAGGCATGAGTTGATTAGGCAGCTGCCTAATCAGTACAATGTCATGCTCAAAACGAGCTTTTGGTTCGGAGCTCTCACTCTCATTGATTCTATGAAAAATAACTGATCTGTCACTGTGATCAGCTTTCGATTTTTCGACTACTTTTACGGGGCAGGGTTCCCTTTTATATCCCTACTTTTCTTCCTTACAACCTGTATCCATTCGTCAACGGTGCCGGTAGAAGCAATAACAGTTGCGTCAAACCTAGTGTTGGATTTTGGGGGGTTGTCGACGACCTGAGAGGTCAGGTTATGTTTCCCGCTAGGAACCGATCGAGCCTTGCGATTGCGGCTTCTAGGTGTCTCCTGCTGGGTGCCATTTGGAAGACGGGGAACAGAAGAACCTTCTTTTCTTGAGTTTTTGTTTAAGACAGACCTCTTTGGAGACTTTCCTTCTTTGATCGGTGTGAGTCACCTATTTTCGAACTCGCCTGAGTTTCCTTCATATCAATTTGCGTGTCAACAGAGCGAGTGCTATTTGATGTGTCCCGACTACGTTTTCTAAAACACATTCGCAGCATCTACCAGTGAGATGGCCTCGGTTAACAAGCTGTTTGCATCCGAACAGCACTGTTGACAAAGCCAAACGCAGCCCTTCTTACTGAACCTTTTGAAAGCAGCAGGCGTTAAATTCGTGCAAACTTCGTGGTACCACCCTTTGCACTCGTCGCACTGCATGCCGCTTTAACAGCTTGCCTAGAAATCCCCATTATGTGGAGATTTTTCCTGAAATTTCCACGCACACGGAGAAAATCCTGTAATGTATCACTGTGTTTCCTAGGAAAATGCTTCTGAAGTTTTCATGTAGCTAATAATTGCACTTTGCTATGTCATTATGAACCAGAATAGTATTATTCTTTTCGGAACATTTCCACAGCATGACTGCGTATGTACATCTTTCCGACGAATGTCTAAATTTATGATTTCTAATTAATAAAGCAAGTCTTTGGATTCGTGTCATCTTGTTGCACTTGTTGCTTTTATGTCTGTTCTAGACTTTTATGTATAATGAAATTTTTGTATGCTTGTATTAATACCTTTATTTGTGTCTCCGTATGCTTTGTAAGTTGTTAGCTTTTTTCCCTGTTATTTTTCAGTCATATCATCTTGTTAGACCTACAACACCAGCCATACACACCCTAATCTCTGATTTAACCGTCCCAAGCGGTTTTGTAATTAAGAAAGAAAGATTGTAATTGACGGAAAAGCAGTGTTAGTGTCATGATTTTGTATCACGTCTCCTTGCTGATCTTTCTTACGTTTGTTAGAGGGGACACTATGACTGATTTCGTCTTACCATCTAAATGTGAAGGTTGGACACTGATTTGGTCTAAAGTGTAGTTTGCAAGTTTCTTGTAACAGAAATTCTGTCTCGTCTTCAAGAAACCAAGTCAAGTGATACTCTGAATATAAGATCTGTCCAAGGGGATTCAAAGAAGGTTAAATATGAAACATCGTTGGTCTTTGCCTTGGTTTACTTTATCACTTATTAGAGAACTCAGACTTTATGAAGTTCTGGAAGATCCTCCTATTTGCAACAGGCTACTTCAGTACAAAGTTCATAAAGAGCGTCAAGACAGTAGCAGATTTGACAAAGGAACACCTCAGACAATGAAGTCTCTTACGGAACTGGTGTATGTCGCTTTTAATGAATCTTTAATTTTGGCAGGAACCGTGGCGTTGATGTGAAGCTGGATGTCCCTTTTGAGCTGTGGGATAAACCGCCTGCAGAAGTCACAGCCTTATTCAAGGAGGTAAGTCTACTGAGTAGTGCTTAATTTAGAAGTGTATCCCACTTGTTAATGAATACCAAGACATTATAGAAGAATGGTTTTACAACAATCAAGATGTAAATCTTTATGATTACCTTTGCCGTGAAAATGTTCTAGACAAATCTTCTCAAGGTTAGCACTTTTTTAAACGTGATTTTTCGATTTATTCGTGATGATCAGTCTCAACAAAATGTTTCTTATATGTGACATTTATAACCTCTTGATCGAGTTCCGAGTGCATTTTTACTTTATATTTCAAGTAAACTGATAAATTCCCCAATCAGTGAAATATGACTTAGTTTCGTTTATTGTCAGCGAGTTCTATATCAAATGCACGAAAATCACTATATTATTAATTACAAATTTTATGTGAAAGAAAGTGATATTATGTGGTTGCCAAAATCATGATGGTCAAGAAAAGGTTCGAAATTTGAGTGAGCATATAAACTACCATGTATTACAAGCCTTTTTAACATTTAGAAACCACTAAACTTCACTTATGTAGATTTCCACAAAATTTGGGGATTGAAAGTTGTCTATTTTTACAAAATAAAAATCACCTGTTTGTTTCAGTACACCATGAAAGGTTTGTATATAATGCTAAGCAAACAATTTCTTACAATTATTAAGTTGAAGTTATTTACTTCATAAATTCGTGCTAGACTTACTGACTGCTATAAACCTGCGATGGAAAACTTGCCTTTAAGTACATAACTCCATATTTTTCGTCTAGTTAACTCGCGTTTCACATACTGCTCACTCCTTGCAGCTGTCAATCATAACCACTAAAGTCTTTAAATAACAATAACTTATCATTTCCTTTAAGCCACAATACAACATTGTCCTTTAACAAAATAATACGACAGACTCGATTAAAATCATAACTGTTGCTCATAAAGTCATGTTTTCAAATGGATGAAGTTGTTAATTCGTTATATATGAATACATTTCAGACGAAAAGCTGAGATTTCATTTTAAACATGTTTGTGATATGATATTTCAGATTAACTTTCGAAACAATTACTAAGTCAAGCAATCACGGGGAGAAACGCTATCACGCGTTATCTACCTATTAGGAAATGTTAACCTTATTGTTTTTTATTAAAAAAACAACAACATTGTTTTGATAAAATTGAAGAGGAGCCATATACAATAGTTCAGGTTATCACACTAAATAATCATTAAAATTAATATCAAATTAACTAAGAAAGGCAAATGTGAGTTAAACCTGATTATATAAATCACTAGTCCACTGAATAGTAAAAACAATCCGATGCTGAAGATTTGAAGCTTCGTCCTACATTAATCATGGTTCAGTGTGAAATGAGAGTCCAGCACGTAACTGTTTTATGTACTAATGAATAGAATTTCATTGGAAGTATATATTTCTCAAATCAATAAATGATAAATATATCGTGAACATTCGTTCACTGGTTTTTCAATGCTTTGTGGGAACTACATACCCAATCATCTCGTTAATAAACAGTACAAAACCACAAATCAACCCTAAACTTCATTTTACGTCCTAACAACAGTCATAATTAAGTCATTTACAGTTCATGAATGGAACTGATTTGTTTGCAAGTTGATCTACTTAACTCCTATCTAATGGGACAAATAGTCACGAGTTTATTAACTCCCAGGAGATTATAGGTCACAGTTCTGTTAGTTTCTTCGCAAAGATAACATGCCGTTAGTAAAGAAAATGTCAATCAATGGTTCCAATGAGAATAACATCTTTGGAGATTTCTAAATTATGTGTTTAGTGTGTTTTTAACCATGTTAGTGATAACTTTAAATATAATGGAAATTTTGTGGCTGGAGTTCACCATAAGTTAAGGTGCTTCACACCAATGTATTAAACTTTCAACATGGAAATATATCGACAATATGAAATCACTGAGAAAAAGATCAGTAATAATGAACCTATAGCCAAAGTTCAAAGGTAGTACGGGGGACCAGTTGGCTTTGTTTATGAATTTGTTCATATCACTTTCTTAAATCAGTGCCACTATCTCAAGTTTTGACGTGTACACTTAACCGATCTGCCAGTCGTAGTTTTGCTCCTGTGATTTATTCTTTTAATAAACTAACGAATTGGCATATTTTATTTTTCAGGGTGCTTGGATGAAAAATCTCCAAATCAACCAAAACATTCTCCAGGTTTGAACTAAGATTTTCTCCTTGCATTTTCAAAATACTGTTGATATCACAAAACCTTTTATACATGTCCAGCACTGTCCCCTAAACGTTTCTAGAATGCACAAAGTTTGTGACACCATTAGTAGTAGTCGAGGATCAATTTTGTAGACTCGTAACCACCACAATTTTTAATTTGCTTTCAATATCATACAAATTTTTAAACTTGTATTCACATGGATACCCGGTGTGGTTTTGAAGGTTATCTATCAGTGAAGTAAACTCCTAAATGTAATAATTTACTTGATACAGGATCATTACAAGTTTCTTCAACGTTTAGCATAAAGAAGTCAATATTCCCTTTAACTAAGAAAATAATCAGTTGAAATTAATCCTAAAAATATTATTTTTCGTACGTTTGTTCTCACTATCCATTGACCTAATAGTCAATTTTATAGTCTCTTCCGATTCCAAAGTGTAGATAGATAATCAAATATTCGCAAGCAATGTATAGTAACCCAAAACTTTGAAAATTATACTACATGTATCGTCCAACAGTCATCTTTATATTTGAATAGTTTGCTTATGTTGTACTGAATTAGTAATTTTTTCCTCACCTATCCTACTCTGGATTATTACATTGCAACATACAAATACACATCGATCTACGTTTCTTCATACACTCTCCGTCCTGTTATAATGATTTTAGTTGCGTGGTGAACGTCTAAACTTCGCAAAGTAAAGCATGTCAAACATTTGTTAATAATTATATTAATATTTGTAACTTAAAGTTGTATGCAGCTGATGAAAAACCGTGAAATAGAATGAATTCACTTTATTCCGCAAAAGTTGTAGTTGCTGCTCTGCTTAAATTAATTTTGCATTCATAGTTGTAAGGCTTTAAACCAGGTTACTTATCTGTAATTGTAATAATCGATTCTTGGAATAATGAGTCTAACCCACAAACCTTTTGGAAGTTTCAGGTGTCTTAGTCACTGAAACAACTCTGTACATTTATAAGTAGTCGTTTGTTAATTGATTCCCACAAGTTTGGTGTCCTTTTTGGTATTGATAATTAAAAGTAATTGATATTTAATATTATTTCTTGCTTATTTTATTTTAGAATCACACCAGTCGGATGAGTTATAATTTATGTACAACACATTGACGTCACTCCTTACCAGTTTTTATTGGTTCTACATTTGGATTCATAGGGTTTTTTTGCACGTGTAACTGCATTTCAAATGAACCTTTTCTACTGACCAATAATTGTATCGTATATTCCTTTTTTAACTAAATGTTGGACATTTGTAATCAGTTTGTTATTACGTTTACCTCACTCTTTCATTAGATTGGAATGATGTTTTGGTTATTATGTTTGGTTTGGTTATTATGTAGTTAAAATCCTTTCGGATTTTACATTTGCCTAAAGATATTATTGAAATAATTTATTCGGATATAGCCCCTAACATGTTAGTTTGAGGTATTCATAAATAAACAAAGATCATCAACATAGAACCTGACACAATAATGGGTTTCCCCCAAGTTGCCATGCCATATTAGTACGACGAGATGAAAATAAAAGAGATCAACATAATTTACTAGCAATAATAAAAAATGACTACAATTTATAAATATGGTTAGAAAAGTATGTATGAAGCGATCCTGGGATTAATGATCGAATGGAAGATAAAGTAAATGTATCTGCAAAATTGTGACCGGTTGTAGGACATCCAACCAATGATCATGGTTGTCATGCGCACTTTAATCAGGTATTCTGTATATACCACTATGGCTCAGACTAGTAATCAATGACTACATGGGTTGGTGTCACGTTTTGGTTTGACTACTTCTAGTCTTCCGGCACACCGCATTAGTAAGCATCATCCATCAAGATAAGTAGAGGTTAGATTTATATAACATATGACCCAACCACTTTAGTGAGTGAACCACACCAACCGATTTGCCACTTTCCCCACATACTCTAAGCTTAACGTCGATATTACTCACTCCGTCATTCAATGAAACGTGAGCACTTCTTTGAAGGACTCGTTTGATCAAAACTCTGCAACCTGAGCATGTTTTCTATATTAATAGACACGGCTATAAAGTGGATCTGAACGGATAGCTGCACAAGATACACGCTCTTTGGTCACCAGACAGACATCTCATCCACAACATGGCGCAAATTAAGAAACCCCAGCCGCACTTCTAAATCTGTACCGAGATTTTATTGCACATCAATCCACCAGAATTGATGAAACTTCCATGATAAGTAAATTAATCGATACACTCGACTACTTCACTGCCTATCAATAATCGAGTCCCTGACCCACACCAGTCCTGAAGTAACATTTTACATTAAGAGAGAGAAACCCATCCCGAACACGCTAGCCGCTGCTGAAGGCGATCAGAAGACTGGATCTTGTCAGCGTTTTCAAATAGAACTGTCATATGCGTACTCTACGTTGATAAATGGACATCGTACGGGGAAATAGACTCCTAAAAAGTTAGGTGGACGAAGTGTTATTTTGAAGAGGACGTCTGTAATTGAGTCAAATAAATTTACTAAGAGACGTTTAAGAATAGTATGTACTTTACTTGTGCATACCCAGGTTGTTCAATAATCGATGTAGAAATTTCCGTGAGTCTATAATTTCTTGCATCCGACGGTATTAATTTCTAACCAGTCGATCCATAATCTTGTACGACCATTCATCAGCTGCTTGAGATGAATAACTGTCTCACACCCGACACGGATTGGACTCCACTGGTCATGGCTTCTTCCTAGAATTCCTGGAGTTACACCTTGAAGCCAGTCACTAGTTATTTCACTCTCCCTCTCGAAATGCAGTCATATGTCTACGGTCTAGGATCGTGATTGGATGAATAAACGTTCATCGACTATTATGAAACCATATTTGACGTTTCCTCATTACTTAGTGGATTAAACCCCTAGATCTAAAGCTCAGGAAACATCCTCTCAAGGAAAATACGTGCTTCGTTTTAGACGTCTGCACAGTATCCCAGCTCACAAAAATGATGCTAACCATCGAAGAGATTGTTTCCGCTTCGTTTTCATCATATTCGCTACCACGTGGTTACATGTAGATTTTGTTTTACACTACATCATTCTTTTATTCTCATTGTGTGTACTTTTACCCTTCAACTCAGCATTTCGTCTGTTAAAAACTTCTATTTAAGTGATCTGAAGTTGCTGAATAGTCGATTTTATAAACGCCCCACAGAATATGAAATCTAATACGGCTTATTTGAGCTGGCCTCTAACTTTCGCACACTGATTCAGATTAGATAGCCAAGAAGTCTAACTATATCTTCGGAAAGTCTTAATGTGGATGTACGTTGTATTTATGCGATTCCCATTCAAGACTAAATATGAACTGCAATTTAGTTCTCCGTTTGTATAAATCAGTTAAATATTATTTTTGCAATGTTAGATCCGGTTTCTCAGCCATGGTGTTTAGTCAGTTAGTCATCTACAACGTAGGACCAGACACATATATGCATCGGTCCAAGTTGCCATATCTCATTAACACAACAAGATAAACACCGAATTCATAGTAGTTGCTTCAATTGTAGTATTATATAAAAAAAGATTGTGTATAAGGATATAGTACAGGAAGAAAGAATTAGTTCGTAGAAAAAAAAGATATGAAGTGATCTTAATCTCTTCGTTTAAGGGAGGACAGAGAGTGTATACACCTACGCCATTGTGATCTGAGTCATGTCACCCACAGTCTCCAACCATTAGTTACGATAGTCACGTGGACCCCAACCAAGTAGTCTGCATCTACCAATATAACTCATACTAGAAGTTAGTGATTTCAAGCACTGATGCCACGTTTTGGTTTGGCCGCCCTTCTTAACTTTCTTCCAATCATCCCCAACACCGGTTAGCATTGCACGTCGTGGTAATCGGTGTTCAGGCATACGTAACACGTGGCCCAACCATCTCAGTCGATGAAGATACACAACCTCATCAACTGATTTACCGTCATTCCCTAATACCCTGCACGTCTAACCTCACTATTGCTTACCCACTGATCCCAGTAGATGCGAGCAGTATTTCTAAGGCATCTGTGGTCAAATATTAGGAGCTTTCGACTATCTTCTACTCTCAATGGCTATGTTTCGCTGCCGTAAAGTAGGACAGAACGAATTGCTGCACAGTGTACTCGTCCCTTAATTGATAGACATATATCTCGTCTTCATCATAGGTGACGTAAGTTGGCAAAGATGAAACGAGTTTTTTGAGTCTGTGAAGAGATTCCGTCAGACACCAACCCATTAGGGCTGATCAGACTTCCAAGATAAGTGAAGTTGTCAACGCGTCCAACCACTTCACTCCCTATCCCTAATTCAGGTGTTGACACGGGCCAGTCCTGGAGAAACAACTTGTACTCAGACAGGGAGGAACGCATTTCAAACAACCTGGTATTGTTGCTCAATGCAACCAAAAGACTATTTTATCAGCGTCCTCACCAAACAGTACTTTAAGTAGTGGTTTAACTGACTTTTAAGGACTAGTTCTTCAAACACCAACGGTATTTTGAAAATCATTCTTCAAGAAAGTAGTGAAAGTTCATAACTTAATGTTAGTTTAGTCTTTCGACTAAATAAGTGGGTTAGGCCTACCGTTCATATAACTGATGTATTGGTTTCTTATATACATGGAAGAAATTATCTCGTCGTGAGAGAGATGCATGGGTCTTGGACTGGTCATTGTATTTCTGAATGATACGAAAGTGTCATAGAACTTGTATCCATCGATGCGTATTGGTCCAAATTACCAAACCTGGTGTTGGCATGACTAGCAAAAATAACGATGTGTGTGTTCCCCACCATTAATGAAACACTCGGGAAAATTAATGGAATCGAGTTATGAGTGGTGTACATAATGTGATGATTAGGACGAAACGTAGTCACATCCATACCAGAAGCGCCTACCTGCACGATTAACTTGGGATGGAATTTTGCTTTCTTTATCCAACTTATCACAGTGTAATGAATTCATTATCTGATATCATGGGTTTAGCTGACCGATCTAAGTCTGTTCTTATATCAATCAACAGGACATCTGGTTGTGGGTTATTACAGATAACACATGAACTGCCCTAATTGATAAATTTTCTGGACTTTATGTTTTCAAAACGTGAATTAAGATGGTTGTAGCATATAAGTCTTCAACTTTTGTGGGGAATTTCTTAGCAACAAGACTAGAACATAACTCTCTGATCAGTCATTTCAAGAACTAAAACTTGTCGACTTTCAGAAAATCGCACCCATTACTGCCTCACGACACCTGTTTTACGCCTCAGTTTGACAGCCTATTTCTATGCTGATAGTTTGTGTAAGAATCTTCTGATCTGATAGCTATTAATAGTGTTAGGTATTAATTTTTTGTTTGGGCGCAGTAATTTTGCATGTCATATTTACTATATTCAGGGATTTAGTCATCTCCGGTGAGCCACTGACAGATTGGGCGTCCGAAGTCCATGTGTAGCTACAATGAGAAATATAATTCTTGGATAACGCTCACCATCCATGAATAACGATAAGATTTGTGCTTGATAACTGTCAATTATATGACCGTGTCTTTTTGATTATTTTAAAATAACGATCCATCATTTTAATCTCTCGCTGTCGTTTCTCGGCACTGTTTATGATAATTAGACAGTAAGTTATAATCGATAGAAAGCGTAGCATTAATATGCATTGGCCTAGACTCCCATATTATATCAGCAAGACGAGGTGAAATCAACATAATGGATAACAAAGGAGTCGAAATAATTTTAGTACTTATGACTAAGAAAAAGACCAAACATTGATTTGATATGGTATGTGAGTTTGCATGTAAACTCCCGCGCTCATAATTGAAGCCGATAGGAATGTTTCTATCTTTTAATTTAGTGAAAGCTCCCCAAACCAACTGATGTTTTTTTAAACCTTTAGTTTAGGTTGCTGACATATTTTACTGCTGTTTGAAGATCGTGCTACCCTACCTCGGCATGCACTTTCTCTGCGTGGGCAACTATGTGCTTGGTCTTTTTGGTCAAGATGAGATTTCTGGACCGTTTGGATTTTGGGTATAAAGAAACTGGAGACTGTCCAGAGCGTACATTCCTATCCTTCAGTTTCTATTTAATCAGAGAGAAAAATTCAGTCCGTTATTATTTTTCTTTTAAACTGAGTAGTATACACATTTATGGAACTACAAATCGTCAAGTGAAATAAGCAAACTTAGAAAGAAGTTATCTACTTAACGGCAGAAGTATTATGAAAGCTCAGATTGATCGGTGTAAAACAGCTCGTTCACATAGCAGCTGGACTAAGTATACCTCATGATTAGAAAATGTCGTGCATAGACTACGAGAAGGGTGGAGGTGATTGGAAGCATTACTGAATAAGACAGTTCAATAAACGATTCTTCAAGCACCTGAAAGAAACAACTAAAGGAACAATTAAACTGGATTGCTGACTGTATACATAAAAATAGAGACTGA